AATCAACGAAATTCGCACAATGGCGATTTTCGTTTGGTAAATTTTTCAATCGAGCACTTAGCACCAAAAGGAACATATATGCATTCGCACGCAATGTAATGCACTCAACAGAATACTCACCGCATATGTGTAGTGTAATAAGATTTCGCTATCCGCAACGATTGTGACTATTGGATACGCGCATATTCGCAAATATTCCGGCACCCCTGCATTTTCGATTCATCGATGTGCGCATCAGGCGGAAGTACGATTCTGCAAAACACAATGTACGTATTTAGTCCGATTTAGTCTCTTTATAATGCATTTTTCTATTACTATTTAACTATATACATGTATACATGTATATTCAAAACAATACTACTAAAAGTGCTTTGTCTGCAGCTAATTTTAGAAATCGGCAATCCACGGTAAAACTGTTCACTTTCGTGTCAATAGTCGTATATTTTTTATTAGTGTAAAATTGTACGCAAAAATGTACGCCAAGATGTTGCAAAAATTGCTTAGAAAATTTCCAAACACAGATGTTATTATTGAATAGTTATCAACAACGACAGATGTCGTGGTTTGATATCTTGTTGCATTTATAGAAAATTATTATTCGAGTCATTTTTAATATACGAAATATGATTTTATTAGATAAATATTGTTTGATCAAATTTTTATAAACTGCCTTTTAACTCATACGAGCATATTAGTTATATTAAATTATCTTTGAATTATTTTAATTTTTATTTCGTTGATTATTCACTGGTGAATTTCATAAAATATTGCGTGTAAAATTAAAATCTCGAAGTAATAACAGTAGATATGTGTGTGAGTGTGTGTGTAACGCACGCAGTGTTTTTAAAAAATTGCCATTGCATACAGAACCATATCGTGACTTGAACGCGGTCGCGAGTGTATAGCGCTATTCAAACGCATTAAAGGATATTTGACCGAATCGTGATTGGAGCGTGAATGGAATATGATCATCCGTCATAACGTGAATCGAGTGCGCGTTTATTGCATAGGAACATACACTGATTGGCACGGCATTGCCGACATGTATATCTGTATTTGTATCGAATTCTATTAAATGTAGATGATTAAATAAATCATACAAAAATCAGTATTTATATATAAACTGTTTAAAATTAATCTATAGAAATTTGCAATAAACGAACAATGATACAAAATTCCGAGTACATCATTTTTTTGCTTCTTATAGCTTTTCCATGTTATAAAATACTATATAGTATACTATTATAGCAAAATTTTAAAATATTTTCAGTTGTATCTCTCGATATTATCATATTTATTATTATACTACAAACAACTTTTCTGAATTCATTAAATACAATTCTTTCGGCACTTTGCACTTCCAGCTTGTTAGCGATATAGCTCGTTCAATAGACTAATATACGCATTGGAAACCTGAAACATCCCACTGTCCCTGCAAAGAATAAAATTCATAGGGGAAAAAAATACAATGTCGTTCTATCGCATTCTGCAAAACGATATCGCGTTGCTAACGATTAAGTTTGACTATTCTTTTTCGCATAACGTGTAACAATTGTTCTCTTCCTTCTCTTATCCTCGCGGACGGTATGGCTACTCGAAGCTCTGAAGCTTTGAGCGGTCAGATTGCCGCTTGCGGCTTTTCGTGCGGCATTCACAAACGCGGTCGCTTTCTCGCGAGCGCTCCGGCGCGAGCTGCGAGGTGTGGCTATCGTGGCGTGCGCGCCGCTCATTTGCGTCCGCGCGACTTCGAGTGTTGCCGTTAGCAGAGCTCTGCCTCTTTACGTTTTTACTACATTACATCTTGTTTATGCTTGCGCATTAATTACCTCAGTGCCGGAAGAAAGGGCGGTTTTTTTGATGCGGTTTATCGGCGACATCGAATCGGTTGAATTAAATGGGATTAAATAATGTTGCCTTTAATGAAAGTATATACAAGAGAGAACAAACTTTAGCAAGATTAAATTAAAAGATGTATTACTACTAAAAGACGTGATTGTGCGTCGGGAAAAATATTCTGTTTAAAACTTATTAATTCTTAGCAACAGACATCGCATTCGCATTAAAAGTTGTATCCTTCCTTTCTGTGCAATGATACAGTCTTATAATTTTAAATGTTTCATTTGAATATTTAAAAAATTACTGATTATAGAAAGATAATTTGAAGACAACTTTTTGACGAATAATTTTTTCTTATTGTTAACAAAATGTCTAGAGAAACCTGTAAATTTGGAAATATTTTATATCAAAAACATTTCAAAATGTGTAAAATATCATTTATTGAAAAATTAAAATTGTATTTCAAAAAACCTCAATATAAAAATAATCAATATATTTTTAAGTTTTAATTTTTGAAAGCAATGCGTCGCATGCATTAGTGAATTAATTTATTGTAACAATTGCATATTGAAATATTTATTCCGAAAAAATCAATAAGAACTTTAATTTTTGAAAACAATGTATTGCACGCCAATGTATCGCATGCATTAGTGAATTAATTTATTGTAACAATTGCATATTGAAATATGTATTCCAAAAAAAAAAAACAATCAGAATTAAAGCAAAAATATCTATAGTCGATGCGATTTCCTCAAACGGCGCACGATGACCACGAATGGCACTATTATTATTTCACGACGGATACAGCTCGAGGAGTCGAGGAAGCGTCCTCAAATCGATAAACCTGACGCGTAGCCCGCCAGAAAAGGAAGCGAGGAAAGGACGATTGCATGTGTCGTGGCCCGAATCGCCCGTGGTCCACTCTTGATTCGCGTCTGGTGTGTATTTAAACCCCCGACATGAGCATTCTCTGTCCACCGGGCGACGAGGCTCCAATACGCGCGCGTCTTTCGGCGCGTACATGTTTAACGTACTTGCACGCGCGAATGCACTAATGCGCTAATACACCGACGCGCATGATGCGCGTAGGTACATAACAAGGAGGTACAAAGGCGACGAGAGAGAAAGAGAGAGCGAGAAATGGAGATGCGGAAGGAAGGAGTGAGAGATAGAAATGCGAGGGAGAGGGAGAGAGACAGAGCGAGGGGGATAAAGAGAGCCGGTAGATTAGGCGGGTATATCGTGCGGTTGTGGACGAGGACGTATACGATATATAGGTACACCAACGGCGGCTACCATCTCTCGCGCGCCACGGTAGGAAGAGACTCGACGTCGAGGCCGAGCTAGAAGGGCGGCGAGGAGAGGGGCGGCTGGCGGAAAACGGGAAGGCGCACAGGGGGGGTAGGCTATAAAGGCTAATTGGTTAAAAGCTCACCACTGGCTGCAGGCTTAAATCAAGATCTTGGAGTGTTATAATGGATAAGTAACACGGCGTGGCACGGCCACCGCCACCGGGTTGTGTGTTACCCCCACACACCGCCATACCCCGCTTTCCCCTTACGTCGAGAGAGAGAGCGTCCTCCTACCCGCTCCCGGTACCCCCCTCGCGCGTCCTCGCGCGTCCTCACCTCGCGCTATAAACCACCCCGTCCGTCCGCCGCCGTGGCGCGTCCCGAGCGCGGAACGTCGAGGGCGAGTATCTTTCGAGTTAAGGACGGCGCGACCGATGCGATTGGTCCGCGGCGCGGGTTACCCCGGTGGGTAGCCGTGTGTGGCGCGAGTCATCGATCGCGCCTCCGTCCTATGAGAAGTCCGGAAAGCCAACCCCTGGCAAGCCGTAGGCCCCGCCCCGCCGCATACCCCGACCGCACCGACACCCCTTCCGGCAACTTGCAGCTTAGCCGTCCTCCGCGCTCGCTCGCTCGCTCGCTCGCTCGCCACCCAAACCCCTTCGCCCCCCCCCTTCCTCCTCTCTGCCACGATACCCCACCGTTCTCCGCATGTTCTCTCCTGCCGTCTCCTTCTAACACCCTCTAATTTATCCGCTCGCCCCGTTCTAGCGACCGGCAGTCCATCCCCTCGCCCTCCTTCCGCTCGCTCGCACCCCACAGTCTAGCTATCGCGCGCGGCGCGCAATAACTACCCCGTGACTCTCGAAGCGTGACTCCGAAGCGCTCTTCCTCTCTGTCTTACTTCTCGCTGCCGCCGACGCCGTTCTCCCTTCCTCTCGTTGCCTCCCCTCTCGCTGCGCTCTTACCCTCTCGCCGTATGAACGTGCGGGAGCGTGTATGTGTGTGTATGTGTGTGTGTGTGAGTGTGTGTGTGCATGTGAGCGAGCCTCTCTTCATCTGTGTGACCTGCGGTTTCTCCGGCGTTTTCCTACCCTTAGTAGCGCGAGCACAGTGTGCCCATCCGCCGCGGCTCGTCACTCGCCGCGAAGCGCATCGCAGACACGAGGGTGCTTGCGCGTTGCTTTCTCTCTCTCTCTCTAACTCGGCAGGCACGCGCGCCGACGCTTTGGCGACACGCGCGCGAGTCGAAATTCCGACGCGACGCGAACACGTTAGCGGCGTGTCGCGCGATTACTCGCGCGGGGATCGTGACTTGCTTACACGCGAACTCTCCGTTATTGCGATCCAATGTGCGTCTAACTCTTTCCCGGGTCTACTTTTTCCCGTACGTTGCCTCAAACATTCGCGTACGTCGCTAAATGTTCGTCGCTGAATCAGCCGGATGAAAAATGACGTGTCGCGATGATGATTCTGTCGCGATAACGTTTTGACAGTTTGTGACGAGTGGCCGGCGATCAGTGGAAGTGACTCGAGAAAAGTGACGGCGCAATAGCGCATCTCGCCTCGGCGTTACACGACGCGCGAGAACGCTTTACGCGTCGTAGGTGAACGAGGCGAAAGAGAAGCACGGAAAGCACGGAGAAGGTGGGAAGGAGAGGAAAAGTTACATGCCGGGCCGCAGTGGATAGATAGCGGTGAAGAGAAGGAGAGAGCAAGAAAGAGAAGAAGAGAGAGGGGGGGGTGGGTAAAGATAGAAAGAGGGGGTGTGGTAGGTGGCGGAAGGACGATAGGGGGAGAGGGTGACTCCGCGAAGGGTGGGCCCTCCAAGTGTCTTGTCTCCTATCATCCTGTCGTCCAGGGTATCGCTTACGAATGTCGCGCGATCGAGCGATCCGTCTGCGATCCACGACGGCGCGCGAGGACGTCGGTTGGCGACGGTCGCGCAGCGACTAACTTAACGTACGACAAGCCTCGTCGTGCGAGAGCCACGATCAACGTACCCAATGTGTCATCCTGATATGCGATCGTCCGAGGTGCACAGCCATCGCGTCGCGTCGCGCGAAACAATGGACTCCGTTTAACCGTCGGCCGGTCGACGGTGTAAACCCCCCCTTGAGAAAATCCGCGTACCGGAGCGCGTTCGACGACGAGGAACGACGCGCGGCTACGAGCGAGAACGAGAGAGCTCCGATCTTCGGAGAATCCGCTAGCTGGGCTAGCCGCGGAAAAATCGCCGCAGCAGGGGGCCTCTCCGAGTGGGCAGGTACGAAGGATGTCCGGCGAGACGGAGATCGAGGTGTCGGTCGTATCGGAGGAGGACCTCGAACTCGAGGGCTCTAGAAGTAGTTCCACGCCGGCGGAACTGCTGCTGCAAGAGAAGAACGGCAAGTCCGGCTGCGGTCTGAGCAATCACCACCATCCGTTCAGCTTCGACACGGTGAGCAAGCCGGCGCTCAGGCCGGCCTGCAATCCTCAATACACGTCCTTCAGCATCTCCAGTATCCTCGGCAGGCCGGAGTCGCCGCCCGTTGACTCGACGACTTCTACGGGATCCGGTGAGAGGCAATCGTCGGACGTCGACAGGACGTCGCCGCTGCCGTCGGCCAACTCACAGAACTCGCAGAGGATTCCGCCGTCCTGTGGCAGTCCCGGAAGAGCCTCTTCCTCGCCTACGTCTCTGAGGTTGTCCGGCGGTCAGCGCGGCGTGTCCACTGGTCACACCGTGCTGGAGCCCAGAGCGAATTCCGCCGGTATCGGTATCGGATGTGCTACCAGTGCTACCAGTCCGACCGCGACCTTCTCGCCGCCCGGAGACGCATCTGCCAATCCGCTACTGGGACACCAAGCGTCGGCCGATCTCGCGATGCTTTCAAGGTACGTGGCTTTGGATTTTCCGCTGCCACAAATTTTCGTAGTATCAGCGCCGTTAACGCGTAATCATTATCTCTCTTGTCGTACGCTTTTCGTTGAAATCGCGAAAGCACATCGATGACACATTTTCGAAAATTTCTTGCGATGGACAGAGCTGTGCATAAATGAAATCTCTTGGATGATGAGAAGCGCCGCAATCGCGAAATTAGTTGTCGTACAAAAAGGCTTTCAACTGTCGTTCAACTCGAGGTTTCGTCATTTAATCGATATATTCCACTAATTGTATCATATTGCTGCTTTACACACACGAAAAATATCTTACAAACAATTTAATGTCCTCTTTATTTGTAATGCAAACAAACAGAAAAAATTAAGAACAATTTATTTTTATCGGTCTCAATATTCTTTAAATGTATTATAATTTCCGCTAAATATAAATCAATAAACGTCAGATCGCGCGCATCATTCGTGTCAATTGTCCGAAAATCTATTCGAAATCTAAACGATTTCAACACAGTACAGCTGTCTCGCATATTATGTAATGTTCACAAAAGCATAAAGAACTGACACAACGGACGACCGACGGCACTACATTTATGTATGACAAAAAAATATTTTTAAACTGAATACGTAATGTAATGCGACAATGAATTTTACATATTTCGGTCTCAGAAGCAAGATACAGTCAATATATAGAACAATATATATATATCAGATGTCGCGCACTTTCACTCGCGCAAACATAGCTTTTTTTAAAATCCAGTCTGTCTGCTATAAAAATTGTGCATTATTATCTTTTGCTTCAATTTTTAACCTTACATTCTTTATATATCTAGTTTAAATTTCCTCTGCATAAACTAAATGCATTAAAAATTGAAGAGCATGCTTTTTTATCTATTTGCGCTCTTGAACTCTTTTATTCCCTTTAATGTTCTCTTTATCGATTACTGAAAGCTAAGAAGCTATTGACATGTCGATAATTATCGAAACAATCAGCCGCTCTTCTTATTTTGGCTTCAAATATTTATGGTTCGAAAAAAAATCCACGACTTTTGCAACACCCTGTGAATACACGTGATATAATCACGCAAAACAGCAGGAAAACCGTGAAAGTGAAGCCATGTTTCTAAATTCAGTCTTAAAAACGATTAGCGGTAGACTTTGCGTCATTCTCGCGAACAACATTTTATTTTCATGAAAAATAAACGCTTTCTCGTTCGTTCTAACGTCACGAGAAATGAAACGGCATACAACAGCGATTTTTGTAATAATACTTTTTATTAAGATCGCGCGCGAGAGCGTTATGTATCGCAAACACGTGTATCGCGCGCGCATCGTTTATTCGCGTACAAACATACGTTGCACAATGCCGTTATATTAAACTCGGTTGATGCGGCAATGTGACCTTCGATTTTATTGGTTGATGGCGTTGAAATAACTGGTCGAAATTCGAACCTCGTACTGATCGGCGATCACCATTCATTTCGCAGCGTAGAACGATATGTCAGTCATCCGAGTAAAATCCATAGAGCAGATATTAAAATATTAGTTTTTATTTGCAACACGCGGCTAGTAAAACATTTCTAGGATTTATGAAAAAAAAGAAGAAAAAAATATGCACGTCTGCATAATTCAACGAATTAAACGGGATCGTTTAACGAGTAATTCAGTGTCGTCGCTATTTAATATTAATTCAAAAGTGTCGGTAAATGGAGTTGCTAATACTTACTAATGATTAATTAATTCGTAACATCGTCGTTATTCATATTTGCCGCTCGCGTAATTGGCGGAATTGTTGAATAAATTAAGACCGCACCTTCCGGAACAATTAGAAACTCCGCTGCGTTAACGTTTTCGCGATAAAAAAATACGCATTCGTGACTTTGACACCCGAGAGATTCGACAACACCATTACGTCGGATTAATCCATTCACCATCGTTGTTTGCATAATTTTATGCACGTGTGTACAAATGCATGGTGCAATGACTTCTGCATTAGCGACGCAAATTGCACTAATTATATCGTTAATGCGCGTTAAACTATTCAATAAAAATCCAGAAAGCTTTAATTCTTACAGACAGTGGCGTGCAATTACTTGCAGCACTACAATCACATTATTTCTAAACGTTTTATCTAAGAGGACGTATATAGATATGCTGGACACTCTAAAATTATTCTTCCGCTTTGAACAACTTGAAGTTGATTTTTTTTGTATAAAAAATATTTAATAAATATTATTTTTTGTAATAGTCTCTATTATTAAACATTAAAAATATTATTCTTTAATGTAAAACAATATCTTAAAGATATCTCAATAGCAAAATCCTGTTTCCAGTATTTTTTTCTCGTAAATCCTATTTTAACAAGAGATTCACCAAGGCTTACTTGCCAAAAACTCAGAATTGAAAATTATTGCGTCTCGATTATCGAGATTCTTCGACATCTTAATCCAAAGAAAAAACGACTTCAAACGCTTCAAAGAAGCCTAAAATATTTTTTGCTTAATGTCACGAACACCTTGTTCCGTGGCACCAATATCCGCACACGTCAACCTGGATTACGGGCAGAAAGGATGTATCCGGGGAACAATTTTCGCGGTCGTGGACCGAGGATTTCCGTAGGCGTGAGCACGCTCGGATCAAGATACACGACATATTGAGGGTGGCGAAACGGTAAGGGGCAGCAACAGCGGCGGCGAGCGCGTGCGGTGAGGATTATATTATGTGGGAATGGACCGACGAAGGGTCCGTAATGGGCCTATTAGGCTGTCTCATTTAATAACAACCATAGCAACAACCACCCTCTTACATTACTTACGTTACTTAAGAGGACCCCCCCGCGCTATCGGATATATCTGCGAGGAACCTGAGCGCGCGGCGCTGCGAAGGGCAGAAGAGACACGAGGGTTCGAGATGATTTTATCAGATTTACACCCCCTCTCGATTGACGGCCCGTCCCCCACGTTCTCGCCGCCCTTTTTCCGCGTCCTCGCCATGCCTGGCTGCCGACGCGACGATCTACGATTGCTTGTTTTCCACCCGTTTACCATTTGATTAAGTTCCACTCGTATGCGCCGTTGGGGCACACTTCACTCGACGAGAAAAGCCTCCTCGAATGGGGCCCGTCACGCAAATGAACTTATCGCGGCTGATAAATGGTAAACTATAGTAAACAGATTTTCGTCAAAGGCGCGTAGTTCATTTTATTTTCACCTAGTAACAAGATTTCCACATCCCCAAGATTATAAATGCTACTCTTCTAACTAGCATATCCCTCAAGTTTGAATTATTCCCGAGTTTGTCTTTGTCATATTTATAAAAATTGATGAAAAATTAATTTCTTCTTAACTTGAAAAAGGCAAATTTTAAAAATTTCTATGCGCGATATGTTACATGATAGCTTGAGAAATAACCGACTTCTTTTTTTCTTCCGATAATAGCGCCGCACTAATCATGTGCGAATGCAACTTAACGTTAACCGGACGGTATAAAATATACGCAAATGTTATATTATACATGAATTTTCATATAATTCAGAATGCAACTCACACGTCACAAAGAGTTGCAAAAGAGAGCGCGTCTCGCTTATAATAATCATGCGCCACGGTACAATAACGTAAAATTACAAATCGCATGTACATGTTCCTGTTCGGATCCATTTGCGCGTTTAAATACAATTCGACAAAAATTCGCGCGGTGGCGTAGAATTACGCGATGATCGCGCGCTCACACGCCATAACACGCGCACACGCGTACATGCCTGTGTCCTGGACGTAATTCCGCAAGCACGCTAATTAACGTTACTGCGCGACTGCCAACGAAATTCGTTGGAAATCCAGCGGCGAAAACACGCGCGTCGGATACCGATAGGGCGAAGAAGGAGGAAAAGGAAAAGAGGGGAAGATAAAAAAATCAATTAGGCGTAGAGTTGCATAATGGATGCGGATGAAACGCCGTGCACGTATAGTCCAAGGTTAAGGAGCCTAAGATTCCCCCGAGAAACGGGCACCAATCCCGCGGCCCATTTAGCCGAGCTAGCAGCCCTTACGTCTCTTCCGGGAGGAAGCGCGCAAGTTCTAGGCCCGATTTATTATTAAATCGCCGCTCTTCGCCGGAGCCTGAGATTCTCGCTCGCCAAGGTCGCGGAGAGAGGAGTTGGCGCCATGCGATCCCAGCAGCGCACCATATCCTCTCCTCTACTTAACTGATCAAATAGTAATACTTCTCCGCAAGAATAAGTATACGTGCGCAGGGATTTACGCGCGGGATACGCCCGGTATACGTGCGCGCTTTATGAAATCGTAACAATCGTATCCGTACTGCTTGAGATGCGACGTGAGCCGGAGAAACGCGCTTTTCGTTGCTCGAGGATTGAGATGTGTACGGTATAACGAAAATTATCTCGTTATAAAGATTACTTATTGTTTTTTTAATTTGATCAAAGAAGATTACAGAAGCCGAAAAGAGCTTTTATTCAAATTAAAACGCGATGTACTACATATGATTATTATTAAATGTTTGAGATACATACACGGGAAAATAGCGGAACAAAGGCAATCGGAGTTTTCATTCCGGTATATCGTACATATATTTAGAAATTAATGATTACACACAAATTTATCTCGTATTCAATTCCTACGTTTCGGACTCGCTCGCATTCGGTCCGCAAGAGCTATTGATCCGGGCGCGGAGTATCGCGGAAATATTTTTTGCTCACCGCGATTTTCCGAGAGCTTATATTCAAAAACGTTACCGCAGGCACGCTAGGACCGCGAGCGAAAGGATCCGTCTAATAATCCGCGACAGAGGCTGCCTCGTTAATTACAGCGCTGATGAATGATTCGTTAATTAGGGTGGGATCGCGCTACAAGTTTCAAAGGAAGATACGATAAAGCCTATTGTGTATGATCGCCTATTCGCGAGCGATATGGATGTTTCGACATCGAGAACAAATGCGGGATGAGAGCGACGGCGACGGCCGTATGGACCGTAGATAGTAATTG